GGCTTAGCTACAATAGGGCTGGTGAAATGAACATTGGCTTTTTTCACTTTCTGTGGTGGTGTGGGGTGTACTCCCCCAGCTTCCTGTGGTGGGAACTGTATTCATTTATACAGAAATGCATTGAGGTGCTGGAAAGCCAACATTTGACAAATAATTGTCACACATCTTTTAATGATCCAACAGCCGCATATCTTTGGTTTCTGCCAAAATCAATGCTAATGTTTCTTATACCTCTGAAAACATACTCATCCTCTTCTCCAGAAGGAGGTTACGCATATCTCTTTTTCTGTTGTATCTTGTTCCTAGTCAGGATGTCTGGAGGATGTCCATTCTTTTCCTAATTCTACTACTTTTTCAACTCAATATTTTTATATAAAGATAATTATTATTACCTCATATAAGTCAATGAGATAAAGGGGGTGGGGAAGATGCTAGTTACAGACAATATCCAAGATATACATGACATCACAAGAAAGGAAATGAGGGTATTTCTTCAGAGAATCATGAGATGAGAACTAGTATTCGTGATTTCTTTTCCTACCATCCTTCTTAGCTCCCTGACCAGGGATCGAACCTGCACCCCTTGCTTTGGAAGGCGAAGCCTTAACCGCTAGACTGCTTGGGAAGTCCCTCATCCTTCTCACCTTTAGTTAACACTTCATCTGCTTCGGGTTCTTAACCAGTTGGGTGGTCCAAATATTTGTTCTGGAGGGATCTGAGCTCTTGGTAGCATTGTCAATACAGGATTGCTGATGCATTCCATTAACTTCACTGTTTTTTAAAAAAGCTATAAATTACATATAACATGCAAAAGAGAAATCACAGCTACAGTTTGTAGAACAGTAAAATGAGCATCTGTGTACTATGTTCGGCTTAAAAAACATAACAGAACAAATATGGTTAAAGCTCCTCTGGTCTCTCCTTCGTCCCATTTCTTGCTTCTTTTCAAAATGTAAACACGATCTTGAATTTTATATTTATCCTCCCATTGCCTTTTGTTTTTCTTAATAGTTCTACTACATATGTATGTAATCCTAAACAATATATAGTTAAGTTTGGAATTTATGTAAATGAAATCATACTTTGTTCTTTTGCAACCTGTTTTTTTCTCAGAGATATTTGTGGTATTAATCCATTTAATTTGATTTTCTGAAATTTAATTTGTCAGTAGTACTGAGTAAACACTTACTACTAATATGTAGATTTATTTAATATTATTAATCTGATAAATTTGAACACTCACCGGCAGATAATCTAAAAAAAGTGACTTCATATAATTATATGAGGAAATAGTTGAAAGAATTTAGCTATTTCTAAATATTAAGTATTCTTATTTTAAATTTATAGTATTTTATACTTATAGTATTTATATATACTATAAGTATTATTGTATATAGTATGTAATATATATATATAGTATATATATAAGTATATAGTATATATTATCATACTTATAGTTTAAGTATATTATTAAACTTACAGTATAAGTATTATTACAGTATACTTAAAGTATTTAATACATTATAAGTAATAAGTATTTTTATTATGTCAAAATATATGTATTTAGATGTAAATGGTGATTGCAAACATGAAATTAAAAGATGCTTACTCCTTGGAAGGAAAGTTATGACCAACCTAGATAGCATATTAAAAAGCAGAGACATTACTTTGTCAACAAAGGTCCGTCTAGACAAGGCTGTGGTTTTTCCAGTGGTCATGTATGGATGTGAGAGTTGGACTGTAAAGAAAGCTGAGCGCCGAAGAATTGATGCTTTTGAACTGTGACGATGGAGAAGATTCTTGAGAGTCCCTTGGACTGCAAGGAGATCAAACCAGTCCATCCTAAAGGACATCAGTCCTGGGTGTTCATTGGAAGGACATGCTGAAGCTGAAACTCCAATACTTTGGATGCGAAGAGCTGACTCATTTGAAAGACCCTGATGCTGGGAAAGATTGAGGGCGGGAGGAGAAGGGGATGACAGAGGATGAGGTGGTTGAATGGCATCACCAGTTCAATGGACATGAGTTTGGGTAAACTCCAGGAGTTGGTGATGGACAGGGAGGCCTGGTGTGCTGCAGTTCATGGGGTCACAAAGAGTCGGACAAGACTGAGTGACTGAACTGACTAAGTAGAGAGAAATTAATTTTAAATCTAATAACTATTGTGCTTAATTTTTAAAAATTGGGTCATGTTTACATTATTTCCAAATATTTTTTTTCCTTCTTTTAAATGATTTATACTTTGCATTTTGGATATCTGTATCCTTCTTCTCTCAAGTTTTAAATTCTTTTTTCTTTTTTAAATCTTCTTTATTCACTGTTCTTTTAGCTCTTCCTATGTCCAACTTCTAGCCTTTACTTTGCTTATTAAACATGATTTAAAAAAAAAAAAGCATCAGCTGCCAGCTTCTCAATTCATCTCTTTCCAGTGTGTTTCATGTCTTATTTTCAAAGTTTAAAAGTGTATGCTGTGATGTCGTGATTAATATGCAAATTTTTTTAATCAAGTGCATGTGTCATTTGCCACCTCTTTGCCTCCCCACTCCAATCAACTTTTATTTCTTGATAATATTTTTATTAACATGTTAATTTTGGTGACAAATACTCCAAATCATTTTAGCAAGTGGCATTTGTGGTTAACTTGAATTAATGAGTAGAATAGGAAATGGGAAATGGATTTGAAATACCAGGGAGTCAAAACTATAGGTAAGATAAAAACAAGTGACAATTAGCAACATTTAATGAATGAAAGAGCTGCTTAAAAAAAAGAATGAATGATTGAATGAGTAACTAGGTAACTCCTTGTGATACCATGCTGAACTGACTGTCATCTAAATGTCAGAGTCTGCACCATGTTTAGGTGATTTTAGAGATTGTTATCAAATTAAGGATCTGGTTTAAAACATTACCATTTTATATATGTGTATGTATATCATCCATTCTCACTAGAGGAAATATAGTTTTCTTTTGCTTAGTGTTGAAGACTATTTTACTAAAAATGGTTGGAGTCAGGTAGCTGGTAAAGAATCCACCTGCAATGCAGGAGACCCCAGTTTGATTTCTGGGTAGGGAAGATCCCCTGGAGAAGGGACAGGCTACCCACTCCAGTATTCTTGGCTTCCCTGGTGGCTCAGCTGGTAAAGAATCCGCCTGCAGTGCAGGAGACCTGGGTTCGATCCCTGGGTTGGGAAGATATCCTGGAGAAGGGAACGGCTACCCACTCCAGCATTCTGGCCTGGAGACCTCCGTGGACTATATAATCCATGGGGTCGAAAAGAGTCAGACAGGACTGAGTGACTTTGACTATACACTATACTATAGAAAATGATACAAAATCTTTTCCTGTGTAACTGGAAGACATACAGAGAATTCACTAGTAATTTGTCAAAAGTATTTCCTATTTCCTTCCAAGAGGAGAGATGTGGATATGATTTAGAAATTAACCAAAGTTAAAGGGCCTCACATGGTGCAACTGCAGACAAGCCTGTGTCAGTTTCATTTGTTCTTTAAACCACATACAGGTTTGTTTTTTCTTTCTTAATTGATCTGAGATACATTTACTTTTCAGAAGCAAATACTTGTCAACTTTGTGATTTCTTCATTATTTAATGAAATTGAAAACAAGACTTTAACACAGAATTACAAAATAAAGCGGTTCATATCAACTCTTTGCGCTGCACCTGGGCGAAAATCTGCCGCTTTCTTTTGATGTTTCTGAGTCATCCTGCTGCCTTGCCAGACTACTTATCTAGAAGAGAGGGTGGCAGTCGTTGAGGAGCTTGTAATGTGAGACAGGTAGGGCTGATCAGTGTCTGAGACAATTTAAGAAACATTGAACTAGGACATTGATTGATTTATTAACATTGTGGGTAAGCAATGGCTCAAGGCATGTTATAGGACTGTGAGTGAAAGGAGAACTGGAGGAAGTTAGGTCACCAGGGAGAACTCTTCTGTCCATCTCTAATTATATAGAATTGGTGCAGTTTCAATATTTCTTTGAGTAAAAGAAGGGAGACATCTGGACGAGCTGGGAGCCCAAGAGGACAAGATGATGTATGTGTTGTCATATCAGAAAGAACAAAGGAAGCGCATCCAATTTTTACCTTTTTTTAATTTTAGTATTCCCTTTCCCCTTCCCCCAATATTGTGTTTTTAGAGTAGAGAAAATGCTCCAGCTGCTTTTCATTGTAATTCATTTTAGTAATGAAAATGCCCAGTTTCTAAAATTGCAATTTAAGCCTTTTGGGAACACAAACAATTTTCCCCCTGTGCTTGGGAAAGTTGAATAATATGATTAACCCACAGCCCGTGTGTGCGTGCATAGTCACTTCTGTGACTTCAGTGACTCTTTGCAACCCCATGGACTGTAGCCCGCCAGGCTCCTCTATCCATGGGATTCTCCAGGCAAGAATACTGGAGTGGGTTGCCGTGCCCTCCTCCAGGGGATCTTCCCAAACCAGGGATCAAACCTGCGTCTCTTACATCTCCAGGTGGGTTCTTTACCATAGCGCCACCTGCAAAGCCCAACCTACATCCTAACCTCTGAGTAGTGACCCTTTAAAGCATCATTCTGTTGGATCCTATTTCCTTCCCCCTCTGTGGCTGTGGTTCTTTCCTCTTCAATTGCTCTCTGTCCCTCTTGAGTTGTGGGATCCTACCTGCCCTCATCAATCTCTAAAGAGGTGGCCCAGTGTTGAATCAGGAAGATAGCCTGTCTTATACACTCACAAAGCAAATTTACAAGATCTAAATCCCTTAAGTGTTCTTCGAGGTGGTCCACTTTTCAAGGTCAATTTTTCAGATAGTTTGGGAGGCCAAATTCCTACTCCTCTGAGGCTAGACAGAATGATTTTACTGCAAGGTTGCCCAACCAATACTGTTTATACAGAGTGACTCTTTCCTTTGACTTATTATTCTACTCCGCATGGGTGTGACGATTAGGATTTATCACTAGATGCATATGGCAGATTTTAGAATCTTTGGAACGGTATGTCTAGAAGTTACATTGAGTCCAGGGTTGTTTGGTCGTTGGTAACCTGGAAACCTAATTGCAACAACAAGCCATCCAAACAGTTATTCTTCTGAGTGCTCATAATGAAAGTAATACCGGGAGGGATCAGCCAGGAATGGACTCGACATCCCTGGCAAACAAAACTGACTTCTAGCTTATGGTTATCGCTAATTGGGGTACAGTAATTCTGAAGCATGTTTAGTGGAGCTTAAAAAAAAAAAAATTCCACAGTTCCTGGTAATGTGTTCACTGAAGACTTACTGGATGAAGTATTCTTTATCATTTACAGGTTAAAACAGCTGGATGTTTTCCTCCATATCCAAGCAAGTGTAAGAGTTTTGCTTTCTTAAATAAATGTACTTTATTTTCTTCAGTATTTCATACTGTCTAAGCACTACAGCAAAATGGAAAGGAATACAGTATGGTAACTTGAATACCCCCTGCCCATTTCATTCATTCATGTCTTTGTTTTGGCACTATAAATACAAACACAGGTGGAATAGAAGCTTATACAGGGAAGACAGTGTTCCATGTGGAAAGGATTTTGTGTCATCTCTTGGGTTTCTTGAGTTATTTGTGTTGAATGTAATTAAGGCCCAAAGTAAGTGAGGCCTCTTATAAAACCTAGATTAATCATGGAAGTAGATTGGTTTTAATTTTGGGGTGATAGAAGACATCCCTCACCAATTTTCCATTCCTTTTGGAATGTTAGGTGGCTGATATTGTTGCTTATCTGTCTCCACTGTATTTTTAGTTCCAAGCTATCACCGTTCTCCTTTACCTTTTCTTTATAGTTTGGGGATTTCAGGGTATAAATGAGTTGAAATGAAGTAAAAATGCAGTGGTAGTTTTTTCAAGCTCATCTTTAAGCAAACTTGAGTTGACCAAAGATGTCCCTGAACTTGTTTTTCTTGTTAATATAACAGTTGATGATCATGCTAAAGGCTTTCCAAAAAGTCTGTTTTACTTGGAAAGGGAATGAGGGTAAACATTCTTCTTCAGTGGTATTATTTATTATTTCACTTGTGTCTCCCTCCTCTCTCCCTTCTCACTGGCTCAGTGGTAAAGAATCTACCTGCCAATGCAGGAGATGCAGGAGATGCAGATTTGATCCCTGGGTCAGGAAGATCCCCTTGAGAAGGAAATGGCAGCCCACTCCAGTATTCTTGCCTGGACAAATCCCACGGACAGAGGAGCCTGGTGGGTTACAGTCCATGGGGTCACAAAGAGTCGGACACAGTTGAGTGACTCAGCTATACATCTGCATGCATTTTGGGGTAACCAAAGCTATTGAGCCTGAATTGTCTGTCCACACTTTGTATGCTTCCATTAGTAGAGGAGTGCCCGTCCATTTTTATCTGAATGCTTCAGCTTAGTGTTGCTCTTTCATTGAGAGAGAGCAGGGCTTAGTGGAAAGAGCATGGATTTTGGAACTGAATAGACTCAAGTTTCATTCCTAATTCTTGGGCCTAAAGTACTGCTTCCTCGTTGGATAACAGGAAGAAATGATCTCTGTCTTGAAGTTGTAGTTATCAAGAAATATTAAGTAAATATCTACCATGTGTCAGATGCTGAGCTGAACAATTGGGGTGAAAAATGAGAAATGTGTGACCCCTACTTTCCAGGGAAGAGCTTGTTGTTTTGCAGGAATGATATGCACGCAGATAGCAGTAGTAAAATGTGATAAACACACACTGTGTAAGCTCGTGGTGGATGAACATACCAAAAGAATGCAATTAATATTGTGTTGCAGGGGGGGTCAGAGAAAGGACACTTCAGAGTAGAGCTGGGTCTTGAAAAATCAGTAAATTCAATAGACATCTTGAGGGTGAGTCAAGACCATGAGCAAGGACATAGATGCATAAAATTTCATAGCTGCATTGGCCAATAGTTTGAACAATGACCTCTGGGGTATGGTAAGCCATGGGCCTTGAACTTGACAAAAATGTGCTTTTGGCTATAATAAGTCCGCAAAGCAGTGATCCTCAACTCTTGGGTTATTCTAGCTATACAAATTAACCCCTCTGCCCAAAGATCTTTCATTGAGAGAGAGCAGGGCTTAGTGGAAAGAGCATGGATTTTGGAACTGAATAGACTCAAGTTTCATTCCTAATTCTTGGGCCTAAAGTACTGCTTCCTCGTTGGATAACAGGAAGAAATGATCTCTGTCTTGAAGTTGTAGTTATCAAGAAATATTAAGTAAATATCTACCATGTGTCAGATGCTGAGCTGAACAATTGGGGTGAAAAATGAGAAATGTGTGACCCCTACTTTCCAGGGAAGAGCTTGTTGTTTTGCAGGAATGATATGCACGCAGATAGCAGTAGTAAAATGTGATAAACACACACTGTGTAAGCTCGTTGTGGATGAACATACCAAAAGAATGCAATTAATATTGTGTTGCAGGGGGGGTCAGAGAAAGGACACTTCAGAGTAGAGCTGGGTCTTGAAAAATCAGTAAATTCAATAGACATCTTGAGGGTGAGTCAAGACCATGAGCAAGGACATAGATGCATAAAATTTCATAGCTGCATTGGCCAATAGTTTGAACAATGACCTCTGGGGTATGGTAAGCCATGGGCCTTGAACTTGACAAAAATGTGCTTTTGGCTATAATAAGTCCGCAAAGCAGTGATCCTCAACTCTTGGGTTATTCTAGCTATACAAATTAACCCCTCTGCCCAAAGATCATTCAGATATTCAAGTTATGGACTCAATGAGTTCAATTCATAAGCATCGCATATTCAGCTATCCAAAGCACAGTTAGTTTAATGTCCCTTGTAGTGTACTTTACAGGAATCCAAACTCTTTATTACCTTGAGATCTAATAACTGTAAAGGTGACTCTCCACAGGGGAATCCACTGTAAAATCCACAGTTGTCAACAACTGAGTGCCAATAGTCAGGGGACTTAGAATTACTCTGTGACTGAGCAGGCAAGCTTCTCAAGTTTGTGTGGAAGTGGAGGGGATGTATGCTCTTGGAGAAAGTATTCCTCTTTGCTTCCTGAACAAATACTATTTGTCAGACATCTTCTGACATGCAAACTATTCTTGTTCATTGTCAGGGTATTTACACTACACTCAGAAGGTACTCTATATTTTCTTCCTTGAAAATGGAAGGATATTCATTTAGACCTCATTTCCTTGTGCTTGCCATCTTAGCCATATGTTGGAGAATAACAAATGTGGGGCATTAAAGTATAAATCAAGCTAAATATATATTAAGCAGAGACAAATAAATGCAAGCGGGAAGACATATTAGCACATTCACTAGGCTATGTTTTCTTGTTGTTGAAAGAATTTTCATTTTGTTTGCTAGTAACACCCCATATCTTCATTATAAATTTATAATGTTAAGAGATTGATTAAAAGTGGATCACTGCAATGAAAACTAATGATGTATGTGAAATTCACATAAATCACATGCTGCCAGTTGCTAAAGATGCTGAAGATACTAGAAGAGATTAGTTTTAAGTAAGTGTAGGGTTCACAGAGAAAGTGTCAGTAGAAATGAAAATAAAATGCTTATTATGTAAAGTAGAAAGATCTCAGGAGTTAGAGTTTGAAGTCCTGGCTGGGTTGCTTTATGGCCTCAGTTTCCTCAACTCTGAACTGTTAGTGACAGCAGCACCTGTTCTAACCTGGGTTTCCTTTTAATTCAGTTCAGCTCAACTCATCAAACACATACTGTGTGGTTAATTGCAAGCTCTCATAGTCTAGGAACCGTGGCTGACTTGTTCAACATCATGTGGGGGCCCCAACAGATGTTTGCTGTTGTTGCCTGCAATGTGCTGTGGAAATAGAGATGTGGAAAAACACAGTCCCTGGGCTCAGAGAGTGAACCGTCTGTCTGAGAAGACGGCGGGCAGCAAATGCTATAACCAGAATAAGTAAGGGTTAAATTAGAATGTCAGTAGAAGTTCTGCATACATTCTTGGTTTTTATTGCTATGAATGATACTAGTTTTTGATATCTTGTTTTTTGTTTTCCTCCCACTAAACTGATTTATCTGCTCTCTTTGTAGCTAAAGATATATGCCAGTCATTTTAACAGCTCTTAATCTCTGTGTGATTTTCAATTAATGGATCATCTACAGTAAACTTTAAAATGTGGACTGGTTCTTCTACCATCCTAGAAGTAAAGAGCGGACATCTTTTTGCTGGTTTATGTATTCCAAAAATAAGCATTCATGTAGACATTAGTTTTGGTCAAAGTGGAGATATAATTAAATATTGGCAATATGAAAAAGGCTGATTTAGATTTTAAATGACTTTTGGACTAATGAATGCTGTGATTATCTGTGTCTCTTTTCTTCTCCATCAACAGGGAGAATTGGAAGTTTTGTACAGATGTGCTTACTAGCAAAATTGCCCACTATGCATAGGTACATATGCTTCATCCATTGTTTCAGGTGACCAGAACAGAAATTTTCTCTTTTTTCCTTCTTTCTTTTTTTTTTTTGACTTTGGAACTTTGCATGAAACTTGATCAGCAATTGCACATTCCCACATGTGATGGTAATAAAGAGAAATTATATTAGTTTGTGGCCTGAGTTTTGCCACGGCAGTGGGAAAGGGAGACCTGAAGTAATAGCAGGTAAATATTATGATATTAAGAATAGGGAGGTAGGTCTTTTCTTGTGGTCCAGTGGTTAAAACTCTATGCCCCCAATGCAGGGGTCATGGGTTCAATCCCTAGTTGGGGAACTAAGATCCTGCATGCCTCCCAGCACTGCCAGAAAAAGAAAAACAGTAAATGTCATTTAAAAAAGAAGAAGAAAAAAAGAATAGGGAGTTTGTAAGACTTGGTTTTTAGTCTTTTAAATTTTATTTATAAATCAGAGATATGGTCAAATAAATGTGACTCATCTCCCACTTAGTACTGGTGGTAGTGTAGTCACAAAGTCCTGTCTGACTCTTTGCACCTCCATGGACTGCAGCCTGCCAGGCTTCTCTGTCCATGGGATTCTCCAGGCAAGAATACTGGAGTGGGTTGCCATTCCCTTCTCCAGATGATCTTCCTGGAATTGAACCCAGGTCTCCTGCATAGCAGGCAGATTCTTTACCATCTGTGCTATCAGGGAAGCTCCCATCTCCCACTTACATGTATAGCATTCGTTTGTTTTTTTTTTTTTAAATAAACGGGCCTTGATATAATAGTAAAATAAACCCTATTGCAAGCTGAGATCTGAGTGTGGTGATGTCGTGAGAAAAATGGGCTGGATTTTCTCTTGTAATATAAAAGATAATAATAATCCTCTCTACCTGCTAAATGTACCTTGGAGTAACAAAATTTTGTGGAACACATTTGTTTAAAACTTTTGGACTAGACGTGCTAATGTAACTGAAATCTTTGACTCATTCTTCGCATAACTGCCTTGTAGAGATGGGGGCAGCAGGACTCCCCTGTGATGTCTTCAGGATATGAGGGACATCTTTCAGGTAGATCAAAGCCTGAGTTATCCTCCCAAGGTGGATGGTTTGAGGTTTCAAGGCTTTCGGAGTTTCTCCAGAGGGCATCAGGACCTACATTCCATGCTGCTTTTCCAATCAGAAGGACTTTATAATTTATTATTTACTGTAATGCAAAAGCTATTGGAGAGAACAGAATAGGAGAAAATATTTGCAAGCAGTGTTACTGACAAGGGATTAGTCTCTGAAATTTATAAACAGCTCATGCAGCTCAATATCAATAAAACCACCAATGACCCCGTCAAAAAATGGGCAGAAGACCTAAAGAGACATTTATTTGAAGAAGACATATAGATGACCAAGAGGCACTTGAAAATATGTTTGATATTGCTAATTATTAGGGAAATGCAAATCAAACTACAATGAGTTATCACCTTACACCAGGCAGAAAGGCCATCATCAAAAAATCTACAAACTAAAAAAAAAAAAAAAAAAAAAGTCTACAAACTGTAAGTGCTGGAGAGGCTGTGGAGAAAAGGGAACTCTCCTACTCTGTTGGTGGGAATGCAAATTGGTATAGCCACTATCGAGAGAGGTATGGAGATTCCTGAAGGAACTAAAATAGAGCTACCATTTGATCCAGTAATCCCACTCTCGGGGGTATATCTGGAGAAAAACATGGTTCAAAAGGATGCATGCATCCCAATGTTCATTGCACCACTGGGTTTACAATAGCCATGACATGGAAGTAACCTAAACGTCCATTGACAGATGAATGGATAAAGAAGATGTGGTACACAGATACTGGGTTGGCCAGAAAGCTCATTCATATTTTTCCACAAGATCTTACAGAAAAACCCAAACTTTTTGACCCAGTACAACAGAATAGACTATTACTCAACCATTAAAAAGAATGAAATAATGTTATTTGCAGCATCATGGATGAACATAGGGATTATCATACTAACTGAAGTAAGTCAGTTCAGTTCAGTCGCTCAGTCGTGTCCGACTCTTTGCAACCCCATGGACTGCACCACGCCAGGCCTCCCTGTCCATCACCAACTTGGTGATGGACGTCACCAACATCAAACTCATGTCCATTGAGTCAGTGATGCCATCCAATCATCTCATCCTCTGTCATCCCCTTCTCCTCCTGTCCTCAGTCTTTCCCAGCATCAGGGTCTTTTCCAATGAGTCAGCTCTTTGCATCAGGTGGCCAAAGTATTGGAGTTTCAGCTTCAACATCAGTCCTTCCAATGAACACCCAGGACTGATCTCCTTTAGGATGGACTGGTTGGATCTCCTTGCAGTCCAAGGGACTCTCAAGAGTCTTCTCCAACACCATAGTTCAAAAGCATCAAGTCAGACAAAGATAAATATCACATGATAGCTTATAAGCAGAATCTAAAAAACTAGTGCAAATGAACGTATTTACAAAACAGAAAAAGACTCACAGATTTAGAGAACAAATTTATGGTTATCAGGATGGGAGGGGGGCGGGGGAGGGATAGATCAGGAGTTCGGGCTTGACATGTACACAGTGCTATATATAAAATAAAATACCTTTTCATGAAAAAATGTTATCGTTTATTATTCAAAAAAAATTTTAAAAACCTGAACTGTTCATGGAGTAATTAAAGATGGTGGCCTGTGAGTGAGTCCCTTACCTGAGAGGAAAAGGGGCAGTATATGAGGAAGTGAACATCTTGTTCCCTCACTAGGTGGAGTGTTTGAGTTTGAACCACATGGGTTCTCTGAAGATTTTGGTTTTGGATTGATTCAGTTCACTTCTGGGACCTCCTGATTCCAAAGCTTTGCCTGCAGCAGTCAGATTGGAAGTGAATGAGCTTGGCCTTATTTAATTGCCTTTGATATGAAGCCCTTTCTTCTGTCCCTTGTGTTGCAGCCCAAATAGTCTAGATGCCATGCATGTGTGCTAAGTTGCTTTAGTCGTGTCTGACTCTTTGGGACCGTATGGACTGCAGACTGCCAGGCTGCTCTGTCGATGGGACTCTGCAGGCAAGAATACTGGAGTGGGTTGCTGTGCCCTCCTCTGGGGAGTCTTCCCTACCCAGGGATTGAACCCATGTCTCATGTCTTCCACATCGGCAGGTGGGTTCTTTACCACTAGCGCCACCTGGGAAGCCCAGTTTAGATAACGGAATGACCCAAATGCCGTTGTTCTTGAATGGGTTACCCTCATCCAAGCAGTCCAGATGGAGAAGGAAATGAAGTATGAAAAAGATGGGACAAAGAGGGGACAGGCTTTGATTTTCTTACTAACAGTGATTTACAAGCGAGACACAAAGGAATCATAAACTATTGGTTTTTTTTTTTTTTTTTTTTGAAGATCTTAGGTCTTAGTACAAGGTCTCGGCCAAATACAGATTTTCCTTCTTTGTGTGTTTTACTTAAAAGAATTACACTGTCATTTGTCTTGGTTCTCCAGTGAAGGTGTTTGACTCTCTGGTGAAGATATTTTTTTTTGCAGGGGTTGGGGGGGGGCAGTGGCAGGGAGTGGGAG